TACGACAGGTCTGGACCACTCGTGAATTTTGTTCGTATCTGAAAAAAATCTTAGAATACGAAAACATTGGTGAATGCCACAAATTTTCCTAAATCACTCGTACGCACAACTTAAGAACAAATCTGTGCGTACAAACGTTTTTTGCATGAGGCCCAGTGCTTCTATAAATACGTTTAAACTCGAAATATTCACTCCAGGTGTTTCATTTAAGTTAAGACAGAAGCATATAAATATATAAATGTGTTTCAGCTCATGCTTTCAATCAGTTGCTGCACACTTAAGTCTTGTTTTGGTTACAGAACTTTCACTGTTAAATAAAAGTCTGCCAGGTAGATTAGTCAGAAAGGGAACAAGAAAAAAACCTGTTGTTAACTCCGGACTCGTTCAGTGCATGCATCAGCTGTGCAGCGAAGTGCGCTTTGTCGTCTTTTCTGTTTAGTTTTAAATTATCCCACACTTTTCACGATTTCTGTTGCTTTCTGAGCTCCTCGTTTCGGGACTCTTTCATTGTTAAAAATAGCACTGAATATAACACYCATCAACAGTGTAACCYCTAGCGGAAGRGCTAACGTCGTAGCGTTGTGTYACACAAATAACATTTCGGCAAAAGTGCGCTGATTTTAACWGGMCCTAATTCTTACGAAGCTTCGAGGCAGGTAATTTGCCTGGAATTATTCGAGGAACCATTTCAGCCCTGGTTCTGTCTCCACAGCTCACTCTCAGTTACGATACCAGAGCGATGCGGACCTGGAGGTTCTGCGCCGGCGCCTCAGCAACGCTCCCCGGCCCCTAAAGAAACGCAGCTCAATCACTGAACCRGAGTGTCCAACGGGGCCAAACATCCAGAAGCTTCTCTATCAAAGGTGAGACCCAGACTTTTATTTATTTTACCGCAGCAGGAGAACAAAGCAGGTTTTGTGTTAAGCTGAAGCTGTTGTGATGTGCAGGTTCAACACGTTGGCAGGAGGTATGGAGGGCGGCTCAGGTGAGACGAGGACCTGATGGTCATGAGACTTTAAAGAGTGAAAGTGATGAAACACACGGTTACGTTCCTGTTTTATGTTCCAGGTAACCCTTTCTACCAACCTGACTGCCTATTGGGAGACATGGACAGCATCGGCTCAGCCAATGGGAATGTTGAGTCCGGCGATAAGAAGGTCGTCGCAGCGGCGACGGAGGCTGAAGACCCCCGCCGCTCGTCTCCCCCCTCAGTTACCYCAGAAAAGTCTGAAGAAAAACCYMCATCAGCAGAGAGTAAAAACACTGRGTCCCCYTCAGCCCAGCCCAGTCCTGTTCCTGCACCGGAGAGGCCCGAGGACCACAACAATAACAACCAGAGAGGAACAAGCCCCGCCCAGAACTCAGCAGGCCACGCCTCTCCAGCACTTTCTYCCCCGCCTCCACCGCCTAAGGTCCACATTAACAGAACGAGGCGTCAGCTTTTTATATCGAGGATAAACCTGCTCCTGCTCTTCTGCATCGTTAACTCTTCTGTTTGTTTTTTTCCTGCAGGTGAAGAGAAGCAACCTGAAGAAGCCGTCATCAGAGCGAACCGGACACGGCCTGAGAGTCAAGTTCAACCCTCTGGCTCTGCTGCTGGACGCGTCTCTGGAAGGAGAGTTTGATCTGGTGCAGAGGATCATATATGAGGTAATCTGCAACGTGCTGCAGATAGTTGTGGTTTCTTTAAATCCTGTTTCACTGACTTTTGTTGTCAAAATMAATCTTTAAGGTGAAAAACCCCAGCATGCCCAACGACGAAGGCATCACTCCTCTTCATAACGCTGTCTGCGCCGGTCATCACCACATCGTGAAGTTCCTGCTGGACTTTGGAGTTAATGTAAACGCAGCCGACAGCGACGGATGGTCAGTGTTGTATAAAGTACCACAAAGTGATACTTACAAGTATCTTACCAAAAATTACTTTGGTAAAAGTTAAAGTCTCCTTTAGGAATATTACTTGAGTAGAAGTCTTAAAGTGTCTGATTTTTTTTTTTTGCTTAAGTATTAAAAGTAAAATAATTGATGTAAAATGAGCAGTTAGATTTTCTGTAAGGACATTTATTAGGAGGTGACCTCCCCATAAATGCAGAATTTGCTATATTGTATTAAAATAATTAATTAATGTTAAATTTAGGATGCACTAGTCCAGCTGTTTCAGTTTATATACATATATCAAGGCTGCACAAAGCTTTTCCCCAAAATGAAAATCTATCTGAGGGCTGCAGCCAAATGTAATAATATAATTCATGAAATACAAATACTTATTAAGTACAGTCCTTTTATTTTAATGATTATGTCCTGCTGCAGTGTGATTTGATTTGTCTGTGTACAAACTAATACAGTATCAGAGTTTTATATATTTATACTTCTCATTCAACCACAGTTAATTTCATTCTATCTAGGAGTATGTCCTGCTGGAGTGTGACATTTGTTTGTGTACAAACTAATACAGTATCAGAGTTTTATATATTTATACTTCTCATTCAACCACAGTTAATTTCATTCTATCTAGGAGGCACAGTTTATATGGATAGTATTTATTTTTTACAATAACAAGCTGGAATGAAAACAAGTAAAAATTAAATAAAAGTAACAACTTTCTACGTCTTGTCTTTTTAAAAAATGTAAGAATTAGAAGTGAAAAATAGTATAGTATTAATAATAGTATTAATAACAACCGAGCCAAGCTGCTGATTGGCTGCGGGGAGTTGATGTATCGAGTCCTCTCAGAGCTCAGTGCAGAGATTCATACGAGACGTTTGTCTCGTCTTTGCAGGACTCCTCTTCACTGCGCGGCTTCGTGCAACAGCGTCCACCTCTGCAAGATGCTGGTCGAGTCCGGGGCGGCCATTTTTGCCACAACGATCAGCGACGTGGAAACTGCGGCAGACAAATGCGAGGAAATGGAGGAAGGTTACACGCAGTGTTCKCAGTTCCTCTACGGTCGGTGTGGAACTCTGCCCAGCTCAGAATCCTGCGGCGCRGCGGCGGAGAGAAGTTCTGAGTTCTTTTGTTTTTGTTTCTGCCAGGCGTTCAGGAAAAGTTGGGCGTGATGAATAAAGGTTTGGTCTACGCGCTGTGGGACTACGCCGCCCAGCGGCCCGACGAGCTCTCCTTCAGCGAGGGCGACGCCGTCACCGTGCTGCGTCGCCATGACGACACCGAGACGGAGTGGTGGTGGGCGAGGCTGAACGACCGCGAGGGATACGTTCCCAGGAACCTGCTGGGGGTGAGTCAAGACTTCAGACATGAAAACCGGACGAGCGTTTTGCTTCAGCAGCCTCTGGAAGCGGGAGTACGTGATGCGTTCAGGTGCTGCTGTAAACTGCGCCGTTGAATAGGTGTGTGTGTTAAAGAAGTAATACTGGCAGGTTTTACGTACACCCCCTAAGGACAGTTTGTAAATAACTTCAACTTAACACGAAAAACTACGGCTGAGCAGCACTAACTGAGCTCTACCTGGTATTTCCTGCATAGAAACAGCATTTTAACCTGTCCTCCTATAAACACTGAAAATTACTACGTTTGACTAAATGTGAAACAAATACAGAAATACTATTAAAAGAAAAAGAGCTTTACTCACTGTTGAGCGGTGAGTAGCTGCCATCTTGAGTTCTGAGCTCTCCCACTTTCTGACAGGACATTCCCACCTGAGGGGTGTTCCAGTTTAAATTTATGACTTTTAAGTGGGATATTCCCACTTCCCAGTACCACTGGGCAGCAGCAAAAGTAGCTGCAGTGAAATGCAGCTTTTGAATTTGTGGGAAAATACTCGACATGCGTTATGCATTTAGCTTAAGCTAAATCTGGTGCAAAGCATCTTTTTAAATGTCTTATTTGCACATTGTCCCTGTTTTAAATAAAGGAATTAAAATTTTATTTAAAAAATGGGAGATGTAGTTTATGGTCAATGCTGCAGCTTATTTTAAGACATAAATACATCTTTGAAGCTCTAGTGGGCCAAATAAAATGCTGTGGTGGGCCACATTTGGCCTGCAGGCCTTAAGGTTAGTAAGGTATAAAATGTAGAGCTGCACAATATATCGAAAATTTATCGTCACGGCGATAACAGCCTGTGCTATATGCATGTCACAACAACTGCATAAACTGCAATAAATGGTTGGCTCAAAAGTTTGCATTTATGCGTTTTGTCATTCAGATGGAAGCTTGAAATATTTCACAAATCAAATGGAGCTCTTCATGTATTTGGTCAATTTAAAAAAAATCAGGCTGGAATGGAAATGYTTAGTTCATTTTAGGTTGTTTTTGTACCAGAGCAGACCCAGAGCAGAAAGATAATAGATACCAAACACCACAAACACACATAACTGCTTCATTTATCACAAGTCATATCGTCATCGCAACATTAAGCAGTGTCATRGCAGGTTTTCATCACATCGTGCAGCCCTAATCAAATGTGTGTTTGTGCTTTATGTTGCTTTAAACAATTCATAAAGTCATAAAAGAAAACATTCCAGGTCCAAACCTTGTCCTTTAGGTGTGTTAATGCTGACTCAGCGTTTTCACTGTTTTCCTGTTTATTTCGTTTCTCCCAAAGATTTTTTGCACGTTACGTTTAGCTTTAGCTGCAGTTCTGCTAGTTTTTGCTTTATTTTAGCTAATTTATGTTTTTAGCTTTTTGATTATTTCTAGACTTWAGCTTTTGTTTTGCTGATGCTAGTTTTTGGAACAGTTTTGCTAATTTTACATTTTAGCTTTGATTTGGTCAATTTAGCTTTTATTTAGCTAATTTTAGATTTTAGTTATGGCTTTGCTAATGTTAGCTTTGGTTCTGCTTGTTTTAACTTTATAACAAAAGATTTTTCATCTAATTCCAGTGAAATATTTCAGAAATCAGGTTTTATTTTTTGGCTTCCAGTAGCTAAAATCTTTTACTCTGACAATTAAAATCACATCCAGGAGACAGTAAACGTCTGTRGTCGCCTTGGTGAGGTTGGAACATCTGGAGAACAAAGTTAAGACGATGTGGTGACTCTCTGTGTTTGTGTGTCTGCAGCTGTATCCAAGGATCAAACCCAGACAACGCTCTCTGGCATGAAGCCCGGATTGGAACGGTGCAGGAGGAGGAAGAGGAGGAGGAGGAGAGGAAAGGGTGGAGGCCGAGAAACTGTAAAAAAAAAAGAGAGAGGCTACTTTTCAGTTTGTCCGGATTCAGCAGACAAACATCTCCACCTGCCCGAATCTTCATAAAAACATTTTAACAGCTCAAAAACTTCACAAGCAGCATGAGCAGCGCTGCATAAACTGTCAAAAAAGAAACATTTTAGATGTAGCTTCAAGCTTCAGTGATGTGGGGAAAAAAAGTCGCCTTTACAGTTTTACAGACCAATAAATGTTACCTTGTCTTTGTTTGGTTTTCATTAACAGAAGAAAACTGAAGTTTACCAATAAGATCAAGCGAAAGTGAGAAAGAGAAGGGAAAGTGAAGATGGAGAGAGGAAAGTCGGAGGCACCGGAGAAGTGAAAACACCAAACCGACGTGTGGTTTCTGAGGCCACAAGACTTGGTGTCAGATCTGAGGAATATTACGTCTCTGGTTTCACACCCCGATATATAAAAAAAAAAAAAAAAACAGAAACCCGGGAATTGTTTCCAGACGACTCAGTTCAAGCTGACGTGTCAACATGTGTTCACTGCTGGTAAAACAGGAGAAAGGAGCAGAAGAGGAAGTGTGTATGCATGTGTGGAGAAAAGGCTTTTAGATGACGTTCAGACTGAAGAAACCATAAAACTTTGTTCCCATTCAGCTAAAAGCTCCGTGTTTAAAATTTGAATCTGCTGTTAATGAGAGCTAATTAAACTGTTTTCATTTCCTTATTATTATTTATAACAAATGATTTTCCATGATTGTTATTCTTTTGTTTCTCTGTCAGTGCTGATGTGACTCACTGCTGCCATCTAGTGTACAGATAAGATATGAGACAAGTTGTGTTTGATATGAGGGCCAGTACACATTACTCTGTGTATATGAAACCTGTAACTATTAATGTACAATGAAATAATAATAAAAGTATTATCCTTAAGAGGAATGAAGTCTGTGACTCTCCAAGATTTCTAAACACGGTTAATGTGTCACAAACACATTAACAGAGGGCATGGTAATAAATAATGTGGACTTTAGATGGGATTTTAAAGTTCACTTTCAGGACCTGGTGCCAACATTAAGCTGCCAAGCAGGTGAGTTAAATCCTCAACAACTGCACTAAAAACAGAGTTTACTACAGTCTGTGCATTTGTTTTAAAAGTTAAAACTCTTCTTTACAAGCGGCTAGTCCATAATTTAAAAACGTCGAGCGTGAAGACGTAGCAGGAAAGAGTAGATAGAAACATTTCAAAATAAAACATCAACGGTATGTTTGGCTAAGGTAGTGTTTTATCATTAAAATTATAAATATTACTTTTAGTGATAGGGATTTTAATATCCTAAATGTATTTATAATCTAATATTTTTAACACATCGTCGCGGTTTATTGTGAAAGAATCACCGGAAGTGTTTGTAACGTCCGGGTTAAGTGCTARATTTTTAGCATATTTACAGTACAAATATTAAACTACAAAGCACATAAAGCGCCAAACATCACAATTGAAACGTTATACATTTATCTTTGACATTCCATCGAAGGTAAGTTAACATTTATCAAGTTCAAAATGTTGATATTTATAACAAGTACATTATTTTAACGAAAAATAGTACTTTCTTGGTTGCTAATTAAACGGCCTTTGAAGAAAACCAGTTTAACATGATCAACTTGTCTGATATTTATGAAATATCAGATATATTAGCTGTATTTTAGACTTATTTTATTAAACTATTATCAGTAAAACTACTTGAAGTTAGGTTTTTGTACTTTCCTACGTTTTCAGTTGTCCCTGAAGGCAACACGGTCAGCATCAGAGTTCTTATATAACAATGTTCAGCACAGACTGATCAGTGATATATTAACTTTTTTTTTCTTTTCTTTTCTGTCGACAGGTTCATTTATTGTTTCCAAAATGCCGGAACATTTCCACCTGAACACCCCTCTGCTGGAGAGTGTGGGCATGTCCAAACGGTTGGGCTCCACTGTTTACATGAAGATGGAGAACTCCCAGCCCTCTGGTTCCTTTAAGATCCGAGGGGTCGGACACCTGTGCCAGCAGGTGAGGACTCTGTGACTCTGTTATAAAGTCTCTGTAGATCAGTGGTGTCGGACGGTCACTGGTTCTTGTGTTTCAGCTCGCCAGGAAGTCCAAGGGTGTCGTCTGTGCTTCAGGTACCATCACATTTTTCATTGTTGTCTCACTGTATGAATATATTTTAACACTAAAKCTAACTACTTCATCTGCATACTGTTGTGTTTTTAAGCAGTTTATATGGCAAAACTTCAGCTTATGCATGCATGATTTTTATTTTTTATATAACTTTTACAGATTTTATATTGTTTTAAACTTTATTTACAAATATTTTCCCCATACAAACACACTGAGAACTTCCTATTGAAATC